CATTACTACAACCTCTTCCTCTTTTTAAACAATGGATATAAATGGTATTTGTTTGTTTTTGAATTACACTACTAGTAAAGTCCTTTATTTTACAGAAAAAGCTATAGGAAAAACAACCAAAATACTGGAAAGAAAGGCCTTAACCTGCCATATCCTATAGTAGGTAAATAATTAATTAATGTGTTTTTAATGACATGAGTATATTGGCAGTATGTATAAATGTTTGCATGAGAATGTCTGAAACTGAGTTAGCGCCATATTTGAAATGAATTTAGTAGCATAACGTTTTTGTTACTATGAAACAAAACTGCTTCAAGATAACACTGTAAAGCTGAAATATATAAATCTCATACAAATATAACACAGAAACACACAAACAGCAAGGTTTTTACAAACTCTTTTTAAAGCAAACATTAATATACTAATATTTATAAATTCCAAAAGCAATATTTAAAATAAATTTGAGCCCTTTACATCAAAATGGAACAGAAAAATATTGTTTAGTAAAAGCACTTTCATCTCCTTTTTTTTTTTCCTTTTTCCAGCTCAAATCCATGAAGTGTATGACTGAATCACAGGATGACTGAGGTTGGAAGGAGTTGGAAGGGACCTCTAGAGTTCATCTGGCCCAACCTCTCTGATCAGGCAGGGACAAGTAGACCCTGTTCCCCAGGACTATGTTCAGATGACTTCTGCATATCACCAACATGGGAAGCTCCACCACTTCTCTGGACTTTTGCCAGTACTTACAGTGAGAAGGTGCTTCCTTGTGCTCAGCCAGAACCTCCTGTGTTTGTGCCCATTACCTCTGGTTCTGTCACCAGGCACCACTAAAAAATGCCTGTCTCTGTCTTTACACTGTCCCTTCAGGTATTTATATACATTAATAAGATCCCCCTGAGCATTCATCAGCAAACTGCCCCGTCAACCAGGTCATTAATGAAGATGTGAAACAGGACTGGAGCCAGTATTGATCCCTTGGGCAATTTGCTAGTCATTGGCATCCAACTAGATTTTGTGCTGGTGATCATCACTCTCCGGGCTCAGTGGTTCAGTTTTCAACCACCTCACTGCTCATCAAGTCCATACATCAACAGCTTCTCTATGAACATCTTACAGGAGAGAGTGTCAAAGGCCTTACTGTAGTCCAGGTAGACAGCAGCCACTGCTCTCACCTTGTCTACCAGACCAGTCTCTTCATCAAAGAAGTTTATCAAATTGATCAAGCACGACTTCCCTTTGTTGAAGCCATGCTGACTACTCCTGATGATTTGCTTGTCCTTACAGTGCCTGGAGGTGGTTTTCAGTTTTAGTTGCTCCAGAGATCGGGATGAGGCCGAGCACCCTGTAGTTCCCTAGGTCCTCCTTCTTGCCCTTCTTGAAGATAGTGCACCTAGCTTTCCTCCAGTCTTTGGGTACTTTTCCCAATGGTCATGATCGACCAAAGATTATTGAGAGTGGCCTCACAATGACATTTGCCAACTCGATCAGCACTCATGGGTGTATCCCATCAGGGCCCATGGACTTATTTATGTCCAGTTTCCTTACATATTCTCTGACCTGATCCTCTCCCAACAAGGCTACATTTTCCTTGCTCCAACCCTTCCCCTGGTCTCTGGGACCTGG